AAAGTAATTCGGAGACGGTGAGATTTTCAAAGAGAATATAATTTTAAAAATATAACGGATTAGGGATAATGGATCATAAAAAGACCTGAAGGGAGCAAAAAGGACCATAGGACAAAATTGGAATGCCTAGAACTATCTATTCTATTTACTATTCTATCTGCGGCTATTTACAATCCACAGCTGCCGTCGACCCTCATCATAGGGAAATTTATAAATTAGAACCCCTGTCTGGAAGTATTTGAGCAATTCGGAGCGGAATAACCCATCATTCTTGCGAGAAATGAAAAACTCAAATGAAGAGGCAAGGTGAAGCACCCGCATGAGTGAAGGAGTGGGAACGAACATGGCGCCCAAGCATGCTCGACGACCTGTCAAATTGGTGTCATTACCCATTCTATCTATATACCTTGCCCCTCAACGCTCGGAAGAGTGTACGTCATAGAGCGTACGTCGATGTCACAAATGTCATAGATGTTCTATCGGCGCTCTACAGGGTGTTCCGAAAGTTTCTGACCCACCCTCACAAAATATGGCTAAATGCTATTTCAACCACCGCGAAAACATCATATTTGAATACATGGGCTACATAAAGATCCGGGTGATCTGCTCAGACCAAGAGAAGGTATTGCTGATGCAGAACGGAGCCCCATTCCACACGACTGGCTTTGCATTCCGTGCCAGCGAAGAGACTAGGGTATGGAAGAAGTTACCAAGGAACTGTCCGGACCTCAACACCTGGAACACCTTTGGCACAGGTTCCGGCAGAGTGCTCTGTCAGCCTCACCTCATAAATCGCATATCAGTCATTACCGAGATTTAAATGAGAAACCAACACGACGAGTGTCACCCGTCGGTAGCTTGAGAATTTCAGGACGCCGATTCAAGGTTTCTGCAGGTCCACGAAAGTCATATCAAGTATCGATATAGGAGTTGATACGGAGGGTATTCTTGATGATGTGGAATGCAATTAAATCAATATATTCCCGTTAATCGCATCTCCATCTTTATTTTAGTAGGTCAGAAACTTTCCCAACACCTGTATACGTTTGAGAATCACTATGCGGTAGTTCTCTAACTTCCTTTTACTCCCATTAAACTTTTATGCGTTCTGGGGGTCGCTACCCGTAGTTTGAGAACTGCTGCGTGATGCATGTAGCGGACAACCTTGGATCCCTGTCACTTTGTATAATAAGGGTGCAATTTTTCAGATTCCAATGCATGACCTTGGCCGAGTAAAAAGGCCGTACCGAGGATATTTGACGTATTGTGCGAGATATTAACCCAACGACCCTTCCAACCATCAACCCCCCCCTCTTTACCTCTACAGCTTCCCCAGCATCAACATTACATTACGTATTAATGTCCGTTTAATTTAGTTAAAGTCAGGATAATTTGTAATTTTTTAAAGTTTTATTCATATTTTGCAGTGATTTGACAGGCAATCGGCGCCCTGTGCATGCGCACCGCTCGTAGCTCCTTCGGTACGGCTCTGAGGCATTCCAGCTCAAGTGGTCAAATTTTAGTCACTTTCGTTGCGCTTCAGACTCCGATTGGCTTGAAAAAATTTGGGCATGTTGACATCGAAGACTTATGATAACGTTTCATGTTTTAGTTCTCTGGCTCTAACGGTTTTCGAGATATGGAGCCCTAAACTTAGCCTCCAAGAGGAAAAGTGACCTTTGGGGTAAATACGCTATCTTTGGTCCCAGTCGAGCTAGAAAAGCCTACTTGGACTATATTTAAAACTGGGACATTGCCAGATCACATTATGAAGTCCATTTTCTACTACGTTTGTCACCAAGTGAATTACACAAATTCCAAATTTGCAAATATTGCCGAATTTTGCACGCAAATTTTGAGCACTAGGATGCATGACAACACAACGAGCTTTTGCAAAGTTGTAGACTAAAGCAATGCCAATTCAAGAACTAAATTTCAACTTCCTACGTTGTTTGAAACAACTTAAAATTAAATTTGAAAGCTCCAATTTTGCCTATTTTCACCCACTTGGACGGTTTGTACACCCTGTTTCAAACGCGATCCAAACTTGAAACTAATGTGCAATAAAAGCTCTAAGTTCTTTCCAATGATGTATTACTCATGTTGTTGAATTCAATATTCAAAATTCATATCATTTGTCCGTGTAATTTTTTTGAACGATTGACCTTGTCAGTTTTCCTCTTGAAATGTTTTACCCAAAGTACCAACTATGGGAACCCTGATGAAACAACTAGATCTGGGTATATCTCACCAGTGACCAATAAATAGCAGTATTTTATACCTGTTCCAAGCTTTAAAAAATAAGATTTGAAGTTTTATGGATTTGCTGCAACTACAATTGTGTACACCTTTCCTTTGCATTTCAGACCAAACAGACTTCAGAATGGAATTTTGTTCCTTCCAAGTGTCCGGTGATTGCCACAAAACAAGCTACATATCATTCCTTCAATGAAAATAAACAGGAAATTTTGAGTCTTAGGTTTGGAAAAACCAGGAATGTATTCAAAAACTTTTGTCTTCATCATGAACAAGTTTGGTCAGTGCGATAAACTCTTCTCAAGGGAGGGAAGAACTGTTGTGATCCCTTCAACAGCCAGAGGAAGACGGTGAATAGAGGTCGAGTTATCTCCCTTAATATCGCCAAAAAAATTCATTTTCTTCGTCTGATTCCGGGATGGAAAATTGGTGCAACATGCTTCATGAAGATGTCCAAGTTTGTCTCTTAGCAGAGCCCGCGCATTTTTGGATCATCCCATCGACAAATAAGAAAAGCCCGGAAACTGTCAAAAAAGTGGAATTTTGAGCAAGTCTTCAACGAAGAAGGGTAAACCTCTGCCTGACAAAAAGTTAATCTGGTACAGCAATTTTACCAAAAAGGCAACATACAATGAAAACTCGCTAAATCGAATCCTGATAAGTGGAAATTCCGCTTATCTCGAAGTTCAATGCTTGGTCCCAGCGGAACCCCGTAGGACACTATGTTAAAAGCTCCGTTTAACTCGCATTCGCTTATCTCGAATTTCCGTATATCTCTAATGAAATTTTCAGTCCCTATAACGATTTTCTCACTGTTAACTGGAATTCAGGACGAGAAGGGGGAAAAATTATTCTCGTGGGACTTTTCGATTTTTGAATAGAATGAATGACAAGAAACCCGTTCGGAAGGATGCTCTTTTGTTTATTTGTTTTTCTGCTTCTTCCTTCTCCCACACAGACGCCTGTGGAGAGGATTTAACCTGAGGATTAAAACCGAAACGCTACGACTATATAAAAAAAAAGCCTCTAACATTCACTCTGTCAATCTATCGCTCTCACTCCGAGCCATTCTGTTCCCTGTGTCCCATAACGTGAGTTTTTTTTTTTTGGGGGGGGGGGGGGGGGTTATGAATAAAACTTTAAAAAATTACAAATTATCCTGACTTTAACTAAATTAAACGGACATTAATACGTAATGTAATGTTGATGCTGGGGAAGCTGTAGAGGTAAAGAGGGGGGGGTTCGATTCCTGATAACTCAAACTTCAGATAACTCGAAAAGATTTACCCGGTCCCTAAAAGTCCAGGTTAACGAGATTTCCCTGTAAGTAGAATTTGCGCTGGAGCAAAAGGATGCTGTCTCGATCGTACGTGGTGGAGAAAAGAGGCGAAAGGGTTTTCTGCGATGACATTTTTTGCTGCGCGGAGCAAAAATTTGACATTTTCATGAAGCATGTTGCACAATTATCCTTCCCGGTATTAGACGAAGGAAATGAATTTTATGAAGAGTTCTCCGGGTGAGGTCTCTTGGAGGTGGGAGGTGTCCGGTAGGGGATGGCTCCTCCTCCACGCCTTGGTGAGGTCCGCCGCTTAGTCCACACCCTGAAGCCGTTCCTGACACCTAATATCCTAGACAAACTAAACTTATAAAAGTTAAACTACCTGCGTGTGACTTCACTCGGTCCGTTGGACTGACAAAGCTTGTACTGAGATTCCCCAGATCCAGTACTCAGGGAAGATCAGACGGCTAGGTCAGGTTGGAATATCGTCACACCCGGAAGGCTATGGAATTCCTCTTTCCACGTTGCCTGTTTGCAATGACTTCAAGCTGCATGTTAGGCATTTTCCATTGACATTCCATCACCATCACAGAGCAGTTGAAGGTTATTACGATAATAATGTTACTTTGTGTAAGCCTAGGTAAAAAATATTAAGCTTTTTCTCTAACCCTGAAGTATAATTGTTTACACTCGGAAATCATTGAAAGCGCTCGAGAACACGTGTCACATTGCAGGGTGCAGCTTGCAACATGGAGGCTCGCCGGAACTTGCAAGTGATTTGTATAACCGCGCGTGTCAGAGCCGCCAGGCAAGCTGATGAAATTCATTGCACGATTGCATGAAGTTTCACCATTGGTAGAGTCCATTAAGTCTGTGTTGCGCGAACTTTTTATTGGAATTCTGTTCTCATGCCGCGGGAGGATATTGGCCTATCCCTTGAGTTACGCCTAGGCTAGTTAGGGTTGCCACCTGTTAATAATTAGTATGGAATGTACATATATCAGGCGCAATGTCTATACTGCAAACTGGTCTAAATATGGACTGTGTTTTGTCCGTATCTTAAACTTAAGAATTTTCGCATTAACGAAGCTCAAAAGCTGCTTAAATTACTCTCTGTAAGTAAAAAACAGTAGGCCATACTTACAGTATCGATTGGCACCTTGGCTTAATGTGGGTGTGAGTATTTTCAGTACATCCACGCACACAAGTATACTTCGAATATTTGTCTATATTTCCATATTTTGTTAAATCAAAAGACTGCAATCCTATAGTTAACATAGGCCTCCTGTGTTCTTCCATTGAGTTCATGCTTCTCACTTGAGTCTGACATGCCCAGGACAATGAGATTTTTTAAGTTGCTGCCTCCATGTAACCATTTCATATTTTTGTTTTGAAAATGTCAGATTGATATGAAAGTATTAAACTCAGCTGAAAAACTAACATTTGAGATAGGTTTACTAATGGGAGCATGTTGATTGCTCTTTCAGGTAGCCTTATGCTAGAGGCTGTTGGGGTTCATTGGGCAACATAAAGCAGCATGTCAACCCCCGTGACAGATGGTGACACGGAGAAGCTCTCCAAGAAGTATGTTTCTATACTATTGTAATCACTGCATCCCAAGCAGCATTGATACCTTTGGATATATATTTATTTAAAACTCCATTTAGTCTGTTGAGGATGCCCTAGGCCTGATTCCAGAAGCATTAGTGAAGAGAAGCTCTTGTGAGCTGCAGGAGCTGGAGTTTGCTCCTTTCCAAAGTTGCTGCCTTATTTTTTGGAGATATGCTACCCTGACCCCGCTTCTATAACAACCAGTTGTAGGCATAGGTGTCTTTGGCACCTACCCTTAGCAGTTCTTCATGCATGCTGTTTTGGATCGTTCCCAAGCCAGGGAATGTCTCCTTGTCGGAGTACCTTGGAATGGGGTATACCCATGGATTGGGGTTTCAACAGAGTTGAAGGAAAGTGGAAATGCCTCAATATTAACACAAACATTTTATTCCATCAAAATGTTTGTCACAATGTGTGATAATTATCAGTAGTTGAAGACATCTATGGTTTCATTAAACATTGCTTTGGCAACTTCTGATCATAGATGAGAGATAACAATAGACAGAGGGAGGCTGCCTCCTTGATTGGGACAAGAATCAAAAGAGCCAAACCTCCAACCTAGCTTGCAACCCTCCTTTATTATGAATTGGTGAACATTGGTAGTTGTGGTCAATACATCAATGTGGAATTATTGAATCCAATCTCATTTGAGATTTCTTTGATTGGCATCAATCTGAGCACGCAGTGAAATGATTTTTCTGTATTTGCCTGCATTTTGTGCCCAATACCAAAGTTATGTAGAATGGTTTAGAATGGAAGAAATCCAGTAAATATCCATATGCTCTTCCCCTAAAGTGGTCATGAGGTGTCCATTAAGCTAAGGGAAAAAGAAAGGAAGAAAGAAAGAAAAGGGGAGCATGAAAGCCAAATTATCTTTTTTTTACCCAAGGAGCCAGACCGCCATTCACCACCATTCATGAATATGACATCCCCTTTTATAAAATAAATATGTATTTTTAGAAGTATGATATGGGGCATTGTCTTCAAATTAGTGAGTTGACCACTTGCTTGTTCTGTGGATTAACATAGGTTTTCTCAATAGCTATTTATCAAAAAACCACCAGTTTCGTGTCAAAGTTGACTGTAAAGTGCTGGATGTGAAGGAGAACTCTGTACTGCAATGGTACAATAAATTCGAAATTCCCAGATGTGAATAATTTTAATGGATGGAGAAGCAAAATTCATTAGGCTCTAATTGACACCCTAGAAGTGATTTTTCTTTTACACCCCTCTAGTATTAACAATAGAACTACCAGAGTGGTCAAATTGTTGCTGCATTAAAAGCAGTATAAAACTGTTATTCTGTAACATTTAGCACATTGAGGACCAGCACCATGTACATAATGTAGATTTTCAGAAATAAGTGCAAAGTGCTAGGAGCACAGCTGACTAAAAATTGGTACTAAAAGAAACATCAGAATGTCTACAATCTGCACAAGCACACCCCAAAACCAAATGGTACACAGAAAGAATTACAAATTTGTTCATCCCATCCTCAACGTGTTAATTTGTTTTATCCAGTTGTTATTTGATATGTTCAAAATGTCAACATTAGATAGAAAAGTCAAAACTGCAGAGCCCCTTTGTTGCCAAATGAGCAGAGTAAAGTTCATTAAAAGTCAGTGAGGAGTCAAAATGGCTGCCCCAGTAGTTCTGGTGGCAATAATATTTGGAGTAATCCCCTTTTTCTTTGGTGAGGTCCATACCCTCTTGGTGTCAAAGCTGCTATTAAATCTGATTGTCATATTCCCATGACTGATAAGGTTGGAGCATTAGCTGGAACATGACTGTGTCCTTATATGGAATAGCTCTGCTCAAGGAAGTTGTAATGATATCACTCATAATCTTACGGCATGGTGTGGTGGAATGTTTCATGTTTGTAAAAAGTAAACTCATGAAACACCAATCACAGAATAAATAGAAAGACAGATGTGCCAAAATCTTTCTCCTGTGACTGCCCCTTTTTTATTTCATCCATGGTCACTAGCCAATGAAAGGGCAAGAGTTTATGGTTTACAGATAGCCTGAAGAAAATCCTGAAGCATTTTCATGAAATGGTATATTTAGGCCTATTCCAGCAGTCATGGTCATGAAGGTGAGTTTTACAGTCAAAATGGGTCTGTGAGGTTGCAAGTCATTGAGGGTGATGTTAAAGTTGTTGATCTGCTTGGGATGCAGTCATCTATAACTGTCGAATTGACATTTATTTAGCTGTAAAGTATTATTGGTTGATATTCATTATTAATTAAATTACATTCCAAAGTGCCAGAATGCATTATGATTATGGCAATATTTCAAGATTTCTTGCCTTTTCCCTGTGCATATAATTTCTACCATTATATATACAACTTAGCTTTCATTTGGCAATTGCAGATCCTCATATTGCAATCATTTGGCAATATGTCCACCTTGTTCAGCATAATCCATCCCTGTTGATGACTCAAGTTATTTTGCCTAGAAGCAACTGTAGCTACATTTTATATCACTCTTATCTGAATTTTGTTGAAATAATTTATGTCTTATCTATTAATAATAATGGTTTAGCAATACATTAGCAACCAGGTATCAACCACTGTTATGGTTTCATAGATGCCATCAACAATTGGATTTCGCAAGGCCAGTTTTGATGGCAAAGCCTCTATCCCCCCCTGCCCCCTCCTTCCCATGCCAAAAGGAAAAGGGATTACATTTATGTAAATGCATTCTAGTGCTGCACTACCTCATCTCTTTTCTGAGAAATGAAACAGCTTCTTCCATGCTTACACATAAATTTATCTGTCTGAGATCTTGATTTTACCTCTGGAATTTCACTTGTCACTGTCTTGCCCAAGTGAGAATAGGTTTATACCAAATTGGTTGTTCCTGACAAATGTAAACATTGCATAAGCTGAAGCAGAAATCTCTCCCACTTAAATTAATGCCCAATGGGTTTAAATGCTCTCCTTCCCAAGAGCATTTAGACTATGGGTTTAGGATATGCCCTTCATGGTGAACATTTTTACTAACATGCAATTTCAGCTGTTCTCAGCTACAGTGACAGTGTCAAATGATGGCATTGGACACCTGTCATACTTGTTTCATCTCTCATACGTGTGCTCATACGTCCCATCTTTTCATCCCCACTACCCACAAAAGATATGAAGATATGATCTCATATGAATCCCATAAGTTGTCATGAAGAAGTTGATAACAGTGAAGAATGTCAGACTATAATTTGGTGATTCTCCCCATCCAATTGCTGTAACCAGCTTTGGTCAATGTTTGTGGGATTGTAACTGACCATCAGTCAAACACTGCCATTGGTACAGCCCCAATATAAAGAAAGAGTTGAGTCCAATAAGTCATAACTACATTACATCATTGCATTATTCCTGCTGGTTTTAGGATGCTGCAGGATGAATGTGACTAACTCTTCAGATTCTTCACCACATTGCACATTGGAACTTGGTCGAAAATGCTTTCTCTCATCAGAACCTCTCATAGGAAGTTGCCACCTATGGTCACTTTTCACTGTTATCGGTATGTGTCTGGTTCTACATTATAATTTTATTTAGCCTTATGAGATCTGTTCAAAAGGTACTCTTCAGGGATGGATATGCTTTGATACAATTGCCCTGTTAGCTAGATCTCTCGTGGTCAGTTTCTTTCTAGTTAAAATGAAAAAAATTTGAAATTCGAACCGGTGACAAGGTGACTCCAGTGATCATTTCTTTGGGAACAGAAAGGTGGAAAGAACAGCTCATTGCAATGAGTCTGCATTTGGCAACCAGTCTTGCATCCTTAGCCTTTTCATTATTTTGCTTAAATATTTTGCTTGAGTGCAATTTTAAGAGATTGCTTGTTGTTGCACTCATTCTGTTCACTGAACATTAATTAAAGCTTTTTCTTATTTTTCAGTGAAATGAAGAGGCGAGCACGAGCACAGCAAAAGGAAAAAGAGAAACAACAGAAGGCTCTTGATGAAAAGCCTCAGCTCCTGTCACCTGAAGACAAAGCCTTGGAGCAACCCAAGGAAGAAGAGATATCTCCCAATGTGAGAACTCTAAGAAGTAGAATGAAAACGTTTCAAAATATTTGAAACTTAAGAAGAGTTTAATTACTTTTTGAAAATAAGAAAATATAGCAAGAATAAGTGTAAAAGTTTTTCCTCATTTGCAGTAAATTCAGGTAGCATATGTGATTTGTGATTTTGCAAATGAGAGCCTAGAAATAGTTATTTGCTTCTATTTTGTTCAACCTACAGATTTCAGATTCATATTGATGCCATAACATTTTTAAGCTTTCATTTTGTTGACAGCATTTATTCTGGTACCTATTACTGAGCAGAAAAAATTGTAGCTGACACAAAGGTCAGGGTTGCGTGACTTCTTTTGAAGGTTGTTAGGCTTACTACAGATGAGAAACATTTCTGGTTTACTAGCCACAAAGGTTGACATAACAAAGAATGTATCAAATGTGCCTTGACCAATGTTTCAAGATTTAGTTGTATTGGACCATTTGTTTTTTAAGGTTTTAAGATTCATTTTAGCTTTTTGCCAGTCTGGTATGATATTTAGCTGACATTAAGTTCCACAAGTTTTTTGATATGAAGCAAAGTTTTACAGCTACAGTTGACTCCACTTATTAGAATTACCTGCTTAAAGGGATTTTTTTGCTTTTTGTTGGAGAAAATGAATTTGTTCAATTGCTGAAAAATGAAGTTTACTTTTGTCTGCTTTCTCAGAAAGTCCCCTCTGGCCCCCTAGCCCCACTCTCACCCCATGTAACCAAGGTCATGAGAAGCTACCACTTGAATTCCTCATTAACCCAGGGCGGGGGCAGGAGGGAATGTAAGCACACCCTTTTCTAGGAATAGTTGTGTCAATATAGGCTGGAGATTTGGAAAACAATCATATAATCTTGTCAAGCAGATAATCAGGTGAAAGGGTTAAGAGAGCTTAGTAGTTACAGTAAGAAAGAAGGAAAAATTTTTATGGGAACAAATAAATATTAACTGTTGGCTTGCTTAAAATAAACCTTATCAAGTTGAAGGAGGGAGTGGTTTTTCATGCCCATCTTGAGGGAAATATCAAGGGTATTTTTGTACCTCCATCCTTTCTGTACACCTTGCACAAATGACATATAACTCCACGACTGTGAATGGCAAATATTTGAGATTTCTTTGGGATAGCAGATCTGTTAAAGCTTTATTCATTGGGTAACCATAAAATATCATTTTGAGTGTCTGTATGCCAGTCACACAGTGAAGAAAGGAATGACAGAAATTTTTAATAGGGTAAACAGGGGAGTAGTGGACCACTCCTAAGTTTTTCTTCCCATAAGTTGCAGAAAAGCTTCAGTTGCAATCTTCACTTATGTTAGCATTAAGAAGCAATGTTCCCCTCAAGAGCTAACAGAAAGCCAACAACATCTAGAATTCTTTGTGGTTACTATATTGTCTCTAAGTTTTTCTAAGGCAAAACTTCTACAAAAACTTAGAGACAATATAGTAACCACAAAAAATTCTAGATGTTGTTGGCTTTCTGTTAGCTCTTGAGGGGAACATTGCTTCTTAATGCTAACATAAGTGAAGATTGCAACTGAAGCTTTTTCTGTATCTTATAGGAAGAAAAACTTAGGAGTGGTCCACTACTCCCCTGTTTACCCTACCTGTTCCTTTTAAAAAATGAAACCTGCTCCCTTCTTGAGCCAAAGGATTATCCACATGCTCCTGGTGACATGAAGCCATTGGATTGATCTAGTTTTGGTTATGCTTCTTACTTGTTGATAGTTTCCCAACATTTTGCTCATATGCTCTTCAAAGGTGCTTTTTTTTTGGATCTTCTGAGAGTATCTTATATTACTCCTAGAAACGTCGTATTTGAATAGTGAACACCTTGTGGTGGTGCTCATTAATTTTATCTTTTTTCACAGGAATATTACAAGTTGAGATCCATCATGATTCGCCAGCTGAAAGAGTCTGATGAATCACCATACCCACACAAATTCCACGTCTCAACTTCCTTAACCTCATTTATTGAGAGTTATGATTCCTTGGAAGTTGGTTTTGTCAAGGAGGATGAAGTTGTTTCTGTATCAGGTTATTTACATTTTCATGTTTCTTTCATGTTTTTTCACTATTCAGATTAACTGAGAAAAAACCATGAGTTGAAGTGAACTTCAGATTCCTTGAATTTAACTCACTTGGTACCATGAGCCACACACTGCTTATTGTTATCAACCAAGTAATATAATCAAATCTTGAAAACCAAAACAAATCCAGCCACCAAAATGTCACGTCAATGTCAGCAGCAGAAATGGTTTTCCTTGCACCAATATAATCACAATAAGCTATGTCTACTGTACATGCTTGAAAAATTTTATTAGTTACCAAGGATACTGTGTCAGTTATATTGGTGCAAAGAAGTTCTCAGCACATTTGGGGGGGGGATGTTTTTGTCCTTGAGTATTTGCCAAAAGGTAAACAATATCAAACATGTCATTGAAGAGAATAGTTCTTTTTTAGTCATGATAATAGGCATACAAGGGCTTCTGACACCTTTGACATGAGATTTATTGGACTTTAAAATAGTATTTTACATGTTCAAATATGCATATTCACATTGGAATAACTTGTGAATAATTATTATTCCAGCTTGTTTTCTGGAAATGATGAAAATGCGTCATTTGGTAGGACACAAAGTGCCGATTGCATGAACTATGTTTATTTTATACATTGATTATCAATAGTCATTGTTTAAACACTGTCTGGAAACGACACCTTTTTCAGCTTCTGTTGGACATCAGTTTGACAATAATTACAGGAAGAGAGTGTTCATGCAATCTATTTTTGGCCTTAGACATCAGTTAACTGATCACTTGGAAAACAGCATTCATGCAATTGGCCCTTAATGCTCCATGATTGAGTAAAATTCACTTCTGGGGTAATGTGATCAGTGCATGCCAACTGTATCTGTCTAATGACCCAACTCCTGTGTTTGTTAGTAAATGATGCCCATTCATTTTTATCATTATATTTCTCATGGTCTTCAATTTTTTAACCTTTAAATAATGAGTGATGAATTGTAAATTCTACTTTCTGATGACAAATAGCATAATCATTATTTTCTGTTTTTATTCTCTCCATCTGGTCTCCATAGGTCGAATTCATGCAATCAGAGAATCAGGAGCCAAGCTTGCTTTTTATGATCTGAGAGGGGAGGGTGTGAAGATCCAAGTGATGGCAAATGCAAGATATTATGAGAATGGCCTAGAAAGCTTTCTCAAGGATACTGCCAAATTCCGCAGAGGGGACATACTTGGTTGCATAGGTTACCCTGGTAAGACCAAGAAGGGAGAGCTGAGCATCATACCAAAGAGAATGCAGCTTTTATCACCTTGTCTTCACATGCTACCTCGTCTTCACTTTGGAATTAAGGATAAGGTAAAATGCCTGACTGGAAAGTAGCTATGATTAAATATTGAATGTCATTAAGTTTTTTTTTTTCATTAATAGGAGACAAGGTACAGACAGAGGTACTTGGACATGATCATCAACGAGCATGTGAGAGAGAAATTCTATACTCGTTCACGCATCGTGGCTCACATGAGGAGATTCTTTGATGGACTGGGATTTTTGGAAGTTGAAACTCCAATGATGAACCCAATCCCTGGTGGTGCTACAGCACGACCCTTCGTCACCCATCATAATGAACTTGACATGGATCTTTACATGAGAATTGCACCTGAACTCTATCTGAAGGTTATGAGTCCCTTAAAATATGTCTGTTCTGTGACCATAGAGATTGTAACAGTGCCTTTATGTGACTCTATAGTATGCTATTTTTCTTGAGAATTTTTGGAATCTAGAACTTCAGATGTTCATATAGTTTTATATCTTTCTCTTCTATCTCAGATGTTGGTTGTAGGGGGGATTGACAGGGTATATGAAATTGGAAGACAATTCAGGAATGAAGGAATTGACCTTACGCACAACCCAGAATTCACTACCTGTGAGTTTTACATGGCTTATGCTGACTACAATGACCTGATGGAAATCACTGAGAACCTCTTGTCAGGTTAGATCCCATTTAGTTTGTTTGTCTCTGGTGTACTGAAATGTTCATCATTCATCAAATATTCATCCTGGATCCTTTCTTTAGGCATGGTCAAGAGTCTCTTTGGGACACATAAAATCAAGTATCATCCCAATGGGCCAGAGGGTGAAGAGTGGGAGATAGATTTCACCCCCCCATTCAAGAGGATCAGCATGATGAAGGATTTGGAGAAAGAGCTTGGAGAATCATTACCTCCCCCAGGTGCTCTTATGACATCTGAAGGAAGAGATGTTTTGGATAGGATATGCATAGCCAAAGGAGTTGAGTGCCCACCACCACGTACATCTGCTCGACTTCTTGATAAGGTGAGGAGGTCTTCTTAATTCAGAGTCCATAGCTTCACTACTTATATCAGCACCTTATTAATAAAGAACTCATTCATGTTCTAGCTTGTGGGAGAATTCCTGGAATCATCTTGTATCAGCCCAACTTTTGTGATCGATCACCCTGAAGTAATGTCCCCATTGTCCAAATATCATCGATCAGAGCCAGGCCTAACAGAGCGTTTGGAACTCTTTGTGGCTCGCAAAGAAGTGGTCAATGCTTATACAGAACTGAACGACCCATTTGTGCAGAGAGAACGTTTCGAGCTGCAAGCTAAGGTCAGGCCCTTGCCATTACATGATAGATAATATCCAAATGCCTGTTGTTTCAAGAGAGTGAAAAGAGCAATACAACCAATAAGGTATGGCAAAAAAGGCAAAAACTTTTGTTCAGAACACCTCTGCCCCTGTGGAATCTGTTTTCATGAAATGTGTACTCAGCATAGGCTAAGATGCTTCGAAATTTCATTCCAATTCATTCTGTGGGGACAAGGCTATGAGTTGCTATTTTAAGAAAATTAAAAATAGGGTATTTTTAAAATGGACAAGAACTCTATCTGGTCAAGTGGTAGAAATGCCTTTACATAGTGGTTGTGTTAACCAGGTTACATTAAATGTCTTCTTTTGAAATTCCTTCCTTAAGCTGACCTTGATAATGGTTTTGTTGAGCTTTTGTTTTCAAGTGATGACTAATAAATACTCATATATCATAAAGCAAACTCTGAATTGAGAGCTTTCTTATATTATATATTCAGTTTTTCCTCTGGTTTGCATGAGAGCCCTTCCACAGTGCCTGAGTGTCCTGTGGATTTAAATGTCTGACTTTTAATAGTTGGATCATTGGCCAATTTCCTCAAAACCAATTTGGATCAAATTTTGATTGCTAGTAATAACTTATCTGTACTTTGTGCAAGTTTCATGGAAAAGTAATTCATTTAGAATGGGAACTTATGTTAGCACATTAGCTGCTATACAACTGCCTGCAGTTTGTATGACCTATATATATCCAGATATGGACAGTTTTTATTTATATTGTTCAATGATTATTTGAGTATTGTGTATTCAACACACTCACACTTGGAATGGCTCAAATAGGATAATATTTGGCTTTTCTGCAGAAATGGCCTGGTAGAGGAAAGATATTATAGGAAAGATATAAAGATAGATCTTAACAGCAAACTTATTAAAAATCTGTCCCATTTTGCCATACCCTGAGTTTTCATTACTTTGTTTTCAGCTTTCAATGAAGAAGCAATTGTAGACCTACTTTTATTGATGCCCTAGTATGTTTGATCCACAGGACAAAGCTGCTGGGGATGATGAAGCACAGTTGATAGATGAGAATTTCTGTACTGCTTTGGAGTATGGACTTCCACCAACAGCAGGCTGGGGCCTTGGTGTGGACAGGCTTGCAATGTTCCTTACTGATTCTAACAACATCAAGGTGAACTTATTTTGCAATATCCAGACTAGTCATGAATTTTTTCTGTCTTCGGCCTCTGATGTTACAGGCAGAAAGCAAAATTGTATGCCCTCCCATGCTTGGGAAAGGAAAGAGTGTAGCTTATTTTTATTATTATAAATGCACTAATACTGGTATCAACTTTACTGAAAATACATATCATTTTGTTCAATTATCATAATTTTATGAGAAATATGCATTTTTGTGACATGGGGGGAAATACATGATCGTGTCTTTTTATTGAAACAATGAGTATATGATCATATATGAAAGGGTCTTATATGAACTTAATGAAACACATCTATGTCAAAGATGTGGAGCAGCAGGTAATGTATTTATATGACTCTGGTATGTATGTCATATGGGCTATATATCATGCATAATTGGAGACATGACCAGATCAAGTATGAAACACATAATATTTCATCCTCACAAATCTTGTTCAAATGTCAAAAATAACTTCAGGAACCTTGCTTAGAACTGGATCTTCATCTGTTTCAATAATGACATTGAAAATGCAAAATTGCCTCCCAATTGTGCCAAAATTGATGCTTGCTGGAATAAGTAAACAAAAAGTCAATTTTATTTATAAATTGTGAAACAATTTACTCTCAACTAGAAATCCAGGTTCAGCAAGATTTTGCATGTTGCACTATCAGGAAGAAACGAAAAGAAAAAACTAAAGTATTTGCTGCTGATTCTCCATGCAGGTGCCAATTAGGTATTATTTAGGTATTCAAGGATCGCCTATTTGTTCATCTTACACCCAATTCCTCTTCCCTTGTAGTTCTGCCATCTTTTAATTGATAGCTGAGAATTAGGCTGAGTTCATACTTGTGCTGTACCGAATGCCGGATGCTGCAACTGCATACTGTCCAATGGAACATGTCAGTATTGGATTGGATTTTGCCATTGCTGTACATGCTGTACAGCATAAGTATGAACTCGGCCTTAGACCCCTTGGCCATTAGAAAATTTGTAATTGCCATAGGTCTTGGGGGTCTCGTGGTTAACAAGAAAAGTCAATATTTGACCAAAAATTTAGGTTGATTATTTTATTTGACAATACCTATTAGGTCTCCTGCAGCCAGAATTTTGTGACTGAATGTGCATTTTGTGAATATTTTTTTGTGAAGTATATATCAGAATAAGTATGTGAAGGCAGGAAATATACTTATTTTGGCTGTTGCCCAGAGAGCTATTGAAAATTTGCAAGGCCTGAAAATAAGTCTATTTAAATTAAGTGTCCATATGATTCTTACCACATATCAGTTATGTTATTGGTACTGCTTTATGCTTTTTTGAAATCAACGTCTCCAGGGGAGTACAGTCAACTCACGATATACTGCTACCCTCATTCATCAACAACTCCTTCCTGAGAACAAATCTTCCCCATAACCTTATCATAGGCACTACCCCATTATAGCACCATCTTCATAAGCTGCAATCCACCAATACCATCATTTGCACAAACGTGCTTTTTCCCACATAAATCGTCCCCAATTTGCACCAAGTAGCATACATTTTTTTTAATTGTAGACTGGGACGAACATATGCAGACAAGGACAAATGCCACAAGCGGCAACACAGAGTAAAGGGAATTCTACTAGACTGATCAAAAAGGAACGGAACTTTGGCTGCAGCTCATATATTACTCGTCGAAATCATTGGCCACTAGGCAGGCGTCAACTATGTTCACTTTGCGATTCATGGTAAAAATTTCAGTGGTATTTCGTTTACAGAACTCTGTTGGTGATAAAAAGAAATCGCCATGGTCAGTAACTTTCGGCGAATTTTACTGGAATGCCAGCGTTGGAGCAAAGGGCAAAGATGAAGCTCTGAAAATCTTTCACTGAGACTCTCGAGCTTTTGCAAAAGATGTACGCACAGATATCTGCAGCAAGTACCTGCAGTACGTAGGTACATTGCACATCGGGCCGCCAGGGCCGATGTGGCGGGTGCTATTGAGGTGCACCAAGCCCCTACTTCTCACACAATGGAGCATGGAGTGGCCAATTCAGCCCAAGGGAGAGCAGGTAGTACCCAAAAGCAGCCGGGTGAACCGTCGGCCGCGTTCGCCTGGGCTCCTTATCCACTGAGCCACGGTGACGCGGTCCAAGTAGCATACATGCCACAGCCCTCATCCAGTACTAAACACAGCTATTTATATGTTGCCACTGTGAAAGGTGACTCATAGCCATGGAATGATGGTGTATATGTCGAGCATAGAGTATTGGAGGTTGAATAAGAATTGCAATATAAGCTTCCTTTAGTCAATTTGTACTTTGGAGATTTCACCATAGTAGCCACTGGCATACTGTGAGTAATTCGCTATAGCACTACCTTGGTTATTACTTCATAATCGGTTATGACAACAGGGACGTTACAGCAAGGATTGACCGTAAAAAGTCTGTCTTGATGTTTTTATGCTTTCTCATGTCATAGTAGATTATTACATTGACTGACTTGCACCTTGTCTTACAGGAGGTGTTATTCTTCCCAGCTATGAGACCTGAGGATCCTGGAACTGGCAAGCCAGATGATCCTCCCGCAACCAACTCTCACTCATAATAAATGAACAAGATTCTAGACCAGACCGAGTTTTCTTGTTTTCTCCTACTCCTTTTGCTCGTTTTTTTGTGTTCTTTATCTCTCAGACCCTTTCCTTTATTGTCCCTGTTATTTATCATTTCATTTGTCATTGTGGTTGATGAATGGAAGATTCTTCCGCCTAGAAGAATGCGTTCTTGTTTTTGATGGAAATTAATTTTATGCCATATGGTAGCGTTTCATACATCACTTGCTTTATAATTGCACCTTTTACTTGTGGTGGTTTCATCACACTATAGCATGCATACAAGGATATGCATCTCTTTCTGGAGCATTTCCCTCTAAATACCCGCCTGGGATAAACAATTTTCTTGCGTGGGAGATAGCTCCTGAAAGATGTGACGATTCAAGGGACTTATGCAGCAACAGGTTGTATAGGTTGTTTGCACTGGTTGGAGAACTCTGGTCGATTTTTCTTTTATTCATTGTAACTGATGCATAACAAGAGGGATTGATAGGGCAGGGTTTTCAGAGAAGTAAGTCTCTGGTGATTCATTTCGCCATTAGTCTATCCCGCTACATTCATGTCCCGTGTGGGAAGAGTAGAACCTAGAGTGACATCTCAGTTGCTGTTGTGCTCTAGGATACGGAAAGAATTACTTTTGAAGCCCGCATGGAGAGGAGAAAAGAGAAACTGAATTTATTGGCCCAAACAGGCCTTCATGGATATATGACCTTTTGAGTGCCAACAGATGTCGAGTTTCGAAGCGTAATGCTCTCTCTTCCTAGAAAGTAGAAATGCTGAATGAAGCCCCAATGGAGTCGTCTCAAAACATGGGTACGCCTTTTGGGGACTTCCAGTACCATACCTAGGCCATGCGGCCAATCCTGACGGCTCACCCATTCTTGCCGTAATGCCGTAAGAAGGGGTGTTCGAGCGATGCCCCCCGCACAGGACGCATATTGGCTGCCGAATTATTACAAAAAATGAATAAAATTGCAATTTACCCTGACTTTAACTAAATTAAACGTAGAAATTAATACAGTGTTTTGTTGGTGCTGGGGAATCTGGAGAGGTAATGGGGGGGGGGGGCCGCTGGGTTGATATCTCGCACAGAGCGTCAAATATCCTCGGTACGGCGCTGCATGCGGCCATGGCATTGATAAGTACTTTCAGCGAAGTCAGTGGCGTATTTTGGCTCATGAGCCAAAGAGGGCAAGGTAAAAGAAAGCGTGCAGTGAAAACCGATGATTTGGGAAAAGGGGTGGGACTACTGAGCAAATGTTCTCGGACGGAAAAAAAAAAACTTGCGAGCTCTAGGCGCTTTCAAGGGAGCTGCCTTCCCCCCCCCCCCCCCCCCCC